CTGCTGCACGGCTCCCCGGGGGGGGAGCTACCGTGGGGGAGGGGAGGGCTGCCGCAGAGCTGGGGGGGGGGGCGGCGCTCAAGGTGGAAGTTTCGCCTAGGGCGCGAAACTTCCTTGCACCAGCCCTGGCTAGAGAGAGAGCTTTTAGGTTTGGTGTTGGCTAAGGAGGCTTGTGGCTGTAAGCTAAGAAAGTGCTCCATTTGTTCTTTGTTTGTCCAGCATTTGGAGAAGCAGGATTTTGTATGTTACTTGTAAACAGTGATGAGCTGCCAAAAATTAACAACCAGTTCCCTCCTCCTCACCCCAGGAGGGGGTCGTGGCCCCCCTCCACTCCCTGGGACCCTTGCCCCATCCACCTCCCTTTCCTGTCCCCTGACTGCCCCCTGCCGCCCCATCCAACCCCTCCTCTCATTCCTGATGGCCCCCGGGGACCCACCACTGCTTGTAAATAAACAAGATTGCATCAAAGAAAATACCAGATGCCACCAATTTCTACTTCCAGCTGAGGCAACCCCAGGCCCTGAACTTTGACTAGCCACTCAGGTCAAAAAGGGGCAACAGATCATTCACAAATTACACTCATGGGTTTCTCTGAGTCTTTAAATTGTCCATGCCCTGTCTGTCATGACGGTCACTTTCACCATGGGTTGAACTTAGAAAACATATCACAAGAAATGTTGACAATTTTGAGCAAAATTGTTGTGGAACCAGTTTAGGTGCAAAGGTTAAGGGTGGGATTTCTCAAAACATTCAGTGTTGGCCTAACTTTGCGCCTGTTGGAGTCCATGTGAGCAGAGTTCGGCCAACACTGAGCCCTTTTGAAAACCACACCTAAGAGCATACATGTAGTAAAAACTTAGACCTGGTCCACACTAGGAAATTAGGTTGGTATAACTACATTGCCCCAGGATTGTGAAAAATTCACATTCCTGAGCGATGCAGTTAAATTGACATAACCTTGGTGTAGACAGTGCTAGATGGATGGGATAATTCTCCTGTCTCACGGAGCTGGAGTATCTATGCCAACGGGAGAACCTCCTCTGTTGGCACAGGAAGTGTCTTCACTGAAGCACTACAGTGGAGCAACTGCAGCGGGGAAGCTGCGCCACTGCATTGTTTTAAGTATAGACAACCCCTTAGCTACATCCTCTTGTTACACATCCATTCATCTGAGATCATCACGCCTTGTCTGACGACTTATCATGATTGTTAGCCTATGGAATTCACCAAGAGAAACTTGATAATTATTTTTTGTTAATTTAGTTTTCAGGCAGACCCTAAGAAGCCCATTGGTGGCCACATCCTTGCTCATGCTTCAACCACAAGAATTAGTTTGCGGAAGGGAAGGGGAGAGTTGCGTATTGCCAAGATATATGACAGGTAAACACTTCTCTTTTGTGGGACAGGAGCTATGTTGGGTGGATGGTTAATGGCTGACATAGCTCATACTACTGGAACATGATAGCATCGTAGCTGGTTGCTGAGTTCCAAATGAATCCTGCTTCTGAATGATATCTTGAGAAAACAATGCACAAGAAAATTAAGTAGGAGACCTAGGTTGAAATTCTTTACTTGTGACCTAAGTCACAAGTAAAAGAAATTAGAGGGGTCTCATCATAATTGCCAGTAGACATTTGTCTCTATTAGAAAACTACTAAACATTTTGGTATAATTGGCAGTCTCTGCCCAGAGGAGGTCCAGGACTGGAACAATAAGGAGTTCTGTGGATTAGGATTTAAATCAGATCACCTGTGAAGGGGGCAGGTCAGGACTGAGGCCATGTCTACACTACGTATTTTGCTTGACACAAGTTATGTCGGTGAACAGTCACCAAAGTTTGTATATTGGTTAGGCATGTGCATACTTGGCTGCTTGTGCTGGTGCTGAACATACTCACCAGGAGTGCTCGTGTCAAAGTAAAGTGCAGTGCACCGCCAGTAAGTATCGCTGTGTGTCTTATGCCACCATCTGGGGCAATGCCTTTTGGGATATTTTTGCAATGTTTTGTGGATAATAATGACTCACCCAAGGATCTCTGGGAGCTAAGGATCAAGTTCCCAGCATGCCACTTTATCCATCCCATAATGCCATTCATATCCCATAATTTTCATGCTGTTTTTTATAAATCCTACAGACCCCCATGGGACTTTTCAGTCTCTGTCATCTCTGACAGAAGTACAGCGCCTGCAGAGCTCTGTACTATTCTCAAGAACATTGCAAATACAGGACCACACAATTCTGGTGTCCTTGTGCTGGAGGGTGGGGCAAGCTTGGCACATAGATCCAGGAATGTGCCCTTTTGCATCCAAAAGTTCTGCAGTCACTGCTCACTGTCCCAAACGTGCACTACAATGGGATCCAGTTAGTGCTTGTTTCTCGGGCCCAGAAGCAGCATGCCACGATCTGCGGCTTCTCCATTTACACCCACCAACAACCTTGAATTGTCTTTGGCTACATCCCTAAGCAAACTGTCCTAAAGGAAATCCTCATGTCCCCAGTTGTTGCGGTATTTCCAGAGGGTCTTCAAATACAGGAGAATTGTGCAGTCCTGAATTTGGGTGTTTTTCTGAAGGTATGAATTCTGTGGTGCTTAATGTGCATTTATAAGTACTGTTTGCTTTGACTGCCGTTATGAATTCTGCAATATTTGTTGTAAACTAATAAAGTTCCAAAAATAGAACTTACTGAGTGGGGAAAAAAGCAGTGCAGAAAATCAATGTGCAGATAAAACCATAGGCAATGTTATACACATTTTTTACATAATTAATGGGGTGAAAATTTAAAATGAGAAAGAAGGTAAATATTTATGTCCATTTGAGTAAACAAATGTAGTCTGTTATGGCTACATGTACACCAGCCGTGGTTCTCACAGGTCAATGTATGTGAAGCTGTGGTTTTCCTTGCAGACCCCCAGCGTGAACTGGTAGGTAGGCTAATGTCGCGCCCCATGATGCCATGTCATATGTTTGAGGGTCCAGGGAGCAGTGACCATGGAATTCTCCAAGCCTGCAAAGGGTGGAGAATCCAGGATTTTTGAACCTGTATGTCAACTAGGGTCGGCAGTGTTTGGCTTTGCTGCCTGAGAAGACCCATTATGTACTGGTGCATTTCCTGCTCCTTGTCCTATGAGGAAGCTTGGTCCTTTTCCCTGTCCTCTCCATAGTGTTGGTGATATTGGCCCTTCAAGTTCCTTGCAACACTGGCTTGCAGGATCCTGCATAAGTGTCTTCTCTAGTCCTCTTCTTCCTCCTCCTCATCAGGGTCAGGCATTCTCCGGGCGTGGAGGGAGCACCACTCAGGGCTGTCACACCAGAAGCTGCGATAAAAACAGGCAAATGTACCATTGAATTTACAGTCACAAGGGACAGGGAAAGATACATTTTCCAAACTCCCTTCCCTTATTGTGATAAACACTTTTAATAAGAAATGCTTATGGACACTTCAGCTTTGGAGTGCTGGGAAAAACACTGCTCTCCAGCCCCACCTGTGGTAAGTAAGGTCCACCAAAGACAAAGAGGGAAGGATTTGCTGTTGTGTAAAGCTATAAAAATTCGGTACCTATTCGTTGGGTACGAATATAGCGTAATGGTACTGAACACTGGCACTATTTTTCACAGGCTGTAGTGATTTCTCACTTCTGAGGGTCACAAGCACATAGAGAACACAGCTGCTACTGGTGTCCCAAAGCCACCCAGGACCATATGCTGCTAGCCTGTTCACTGCAGTGGTATCAGCCAAACTCATCACAGAGTGGCATGGGAAAGCAGCCTACTGTGGAGGAAGAAATAAGGCAGCCAAGTCCCGACTGCCCTAGCCCCAGCAGCACTGAAGAGGAGCAGCCTGCCTGGGCTGGGGCCAAGGGGGAAAGAGCAAGCAGGAGGGGGCTTTGGGGAGGAGTGTGGGCGGGGCCAAGCAAGGCTGTTTGGGGAGGCACAGCCTTCCCCAGCCTATTGGATGCGCCACCCATGTTGCACAGCCTCTTCTCCTCACAGGCCCAGGAGATCCAGTGCCTACTGTCTGTTCCAGGCAGAAGTACGTCTAGTGCATAGAGCTGGTGTAGTTGGTTGGGCGGTTGCACACAAGGGAGAGCTGCTAGGTTTGCTGTTCAAGCTGGGCAATCAGAAAATGGTATTTAAAAAAAAATACTCAGGGAGCTTTAAAAGGGGGGCTGGTTTCCAGTCTCTGTGACCCTCTGGCAGTGGTGCCGGGACCAGAGGGGGCCACACCCGCTCACCTTTTAACACGAGTGTAGTAGCCTCAGGCAGGCAGAGCAGGAGCTGCGCTTTGCGGCGGGGAGCTTATAAGGTGATCAACTCCCCTGCCACGAAGCACAGCCCCTGCCAGTGGCGCCAGCCTCTTCCCAGTGTGTATGTGTGTGTGTGGGGGGGTGGTTAGGTGAACTTTAGCCCCCGCTAACCACAGAGCCCTGCCCTCTGCTCCCACCCTTCCCCCTGAGGCCCTGGCCAGGTTGGAAGCTGAAACCCGGCTGTGCTAAGAGTCACCCAAGGAGCCCAGGCTGCTGTGGGCAGCCTCAGATCCTCCACCTGCCCTGAGCAGCATGTCCTGGGGTCGGGGACATGATCTGGGGGCTGCTCTCAGGCACCCTGGCTCCCTGCCCAGGGCAGGTGGAGGGTCTGGAGCTCCCACAGCATCCTGGACTCTCTGGGCAGCGGGTCGCATAGGCTGGCAAAGGCTGTGCCTCCCTAAACAGCCAGGCAAGGCTCTGCTCCCTGCATGCAGCCGTGCCGCAGCTCCAGTCCTGCTCCAGCCCCCCAGTGCTCCATCTGGGGCTAGGGAGGCTGCGGCCGGCTGCCATGCCCTCCCGTGCTCTGGAGCTGGGGCCGTGTGCCTCCTGCTCTCCGGAGCTGGGGCGGTTGGGGCCATCCACCTTCCTGTGCTCCGGGGTTGGGGGCGGCGGGGAGACTGCGGCTGCACGCCGCCCGCCTTCCCGGCGCTCCGGGGCTGGGGGGCTAGCCCGGGGCAAGACTGGGCTGGTTGCTGCGGGCATGCTCTAGGCTCTGGCGGGGGTGGAATGGGTGGGGCCTCAGGTGGAAAGGGCAGGGGCTGGAGGCTACCCTCCCCAGCTGTGGTTCATGCGCCGCCCATGCTGAGTAGCTCTTATCACTGCCTGGATCTGGCTGGCCAGGGGTCGGGATCTCAGGGGAAGAGGAGGAGCAGGGGCGTAGCCACAGTGTCGGTGGCCACCCCACTTCTATACAGGTTCCAGAGCTTCTTCCTCCTCTGCAGTGGAACTTACAGTTGTGACTAGAGCAGTCACTGTTGCAGGGAATGCGGCATTGCGGGACAGCTGCTCTAGACTGTTAGGGTTGACATAGGTCATGTAGTGTCTATATTAGCGCTGTGTTGACCTCAGTAGGTCAACCCACGGCTCTGTGCCATTTGGGGAGGTGATTTTACTGCAGTGCCGTAATGAGTAGCTTATGTGAGCTGGAGATAAATTTGAGTTAACACAAGCACTAATAGGTTAATGCAAGGTGACTTACATTGACCTAACTTTGTAGTGTAGTCCAGGCCCTAGTTGTATTGGCAGAGCTGTGTAGAGATTCAAGGTGGTTATGTGGCAAACCTAGGAAATGGAGGGAAAGCTTCCAGAGCCAAAACTGTTTGGTTCTGCCACATCACTTAAAAAAAATTGGAAACCACTCCAAACAGGAGATCTAAACAAAAATATATTCACTTGTGTGTGCAATTCACTCCAGTCTTTATTTTTGAAATGTTTAAAAGAAAATTAAGTGGTGAATGGACTTGCTGTTTATCCTCTGCACAGGGGTGGATTTCGCACTTTTTGGTAATAAATCCTGATGGACAATTTCTATAATTTACAACTAAGGCCTGGTCTACACTAGGAGGTTATGTCGAATTTAGCAGCGTTAAATCAAATTAACTCTGCACCCGTCCACACAACGAAGCTATTTAGTTCGACATAGAGGTCTCTTAAATTCCATTTCTGTACTCCTCTCCAACGAGGGGAGTAGCGCTAAATTCGACATGGCCATGTTGAATTAGGGTAGGTGTGGATGGAAATCGACGCTAATAGCTCCAGGAGCTATCCCACAGTGCACCACTCTGTTGACGCTCTGGACAGCAGTCCGAGTTCGGATGCTCTGACCAGCCACA